TGATTGATTTACCCGACTTAAATATTAAATTATACCATTTCACTGTCCAGCAATTTGTCCATATTATTCTATTGATAAATATTTGATCTTTAATTACTGTACATAGTTTGTGGGGTAATATTATTACTTTTTACTTAACTCTATTTAGGATGTACCTAGATGATTTTTATTTATTATCGTTTTGATATGCCAACAAAATAATTTAATTTACATTATTTTAATTGAAATTTCATCTATTAAAACGAAAAAATGGAAATAGTGACTACTTGGATAATGGATATTTCCATTCTTACAAATAATTATTTTGTATTTAAACCTAGTTTACTAACTTAAGACTTATATTAATGTTTGAACTAGAATTAAGTGATTTGATTTAATTTTGTATAATTATGATAAGAAACAACTCATCGAAGATTTGATTAATGATTCCACAAATTTAAATTTTCCGGGGTCACAAACAAATGAACCAGTTAACTTATGATTCTTATGATTAAAAGATTCACCGAATCAGTTCATCAAAGTAAACATGTCCTATCTTGACTACTCAACATTGTTTTTTCAGTTCATACATCAATATAATACTACTAATAACCTTGACTAAAAAATATACATAATTATATTTTCAATTTCAGCTACCTATATAATTTTTTTTTAATACAAAAATAAAATCACATTTTTTTAATAATTTATCAATTATTTACGTGTCTTTACCGTGTAACTAATGTAACTACTACCTCAAACATAAAATACATACAGATTTTAACAAGTAAATCCAATTTTTAACTGTTATATGGCTTATAAGTTTGAAAAAATTTACAACTGATATTAATTTATGTACGTTTTGGAAACTGCCTTTTAAACAAAAAATATTACGAATAATATTGTTGTTGAACATATAATTAAAAGCATTAAACCGTATTCAGCATTAATAGTTACATCTTAATGTTGTTGGAAATGCATATCACTTGGATCATGTGTTACTATATCAGCATGGTACGATGTGACATGTGACTTATTATTTAGGTACTTAATCTAACAACTTTTTTGGCATTAACTTATTCAAATTGGTCTAGTAAATTCATGTGTACCTAACTAACAAACCTAAAGTGTTCATGATTTTTTTTTTAAATACTACCTATTTTAAGAAATGCCCACAGGCCACAGCGACCTCTGCAAAGTATAAACTATACTTGTAGTACTTAATTCGTAGGGTAAGTTTTTAAAATATAAAACAATAAATATAGGTAGGTACGAGGGAAGCGATACATTTTTTTCCCGAGTAACTTACCTTTATGTGAGAGTCTAAGTTACGTACCTACACGGCTGTATACATATTATATTATTTATTACACTATAGTGTAGACGTGTAGTAGTATAATATAACCACACAATTTTTTAGCAAGTACATCGGTGACTGCACACTATTATAGAATAATATTGTTTAATAATATATTAATGCCGAGCCCAGAGAGAATATTGTAGGCACGATTAAAGTATCCATTTTTATATTACTTCTGTAAATTTCAAAGCCTAATTTTGAATTTTTTTCAAGTCTCGACACTTCTAGAGTTTTATGTTAAGTTATAGTTTAACCGTTAAGACCAAAAACAAAATTGATAGATGCCGGACGTAAAAATTGACTCACGACAGTAGTGTATCTAAAAATCTAAATGGCCTATACTCAGAGTGCCGTGTTCTGCATTGTATAGATTTAAACACTCCCAATAACATTCTATTTCGGAATTTGAAATAAAAATGTATCGTGTAATCCAAAGAAGTCAAAAACTCGAAAACTGATGACAACATTATATTATAATATAAATTATAATACCTATCATCTATGGCAAAAGCTGATCATCGTCATTCATCGGAGACGATTCACAATTCTAATTATTTCATCGAACAAAAGAGAAATG